AATTATAGCTGAAGAATTTGAGTCTTTATTCATCTAAAATTAAATAATGATTAACCTATTATATGCTTGGATAAATAACATTTTTTAATGAAAAATAACGGTTTCTTCCAAAACAAAAAATAGTTAGAATAATGTTATTGATTTACTTTTTTAGTGTGAATGTCTTTTGTGTCTGGCATAAGAGAGAACAGCTGGAGTCTCATATGTGCTTTTTCATTAAATCTTTTGCAACATACCATTTCAGATAGCATTTGTAACACTCCATTGTGTACTCGTAAGAGAATGATTCTGAAAAAGGCAAATAACATCTTGGTATTATTAGGAAGATAGTTGTGACCTTGTTGATCCCCGGAAAGGGTCTTGAAGTCCTCCACACGTCCCCAGACCACACTTTAAGATCACTTCTCTTGGGCAAGATTTGCCTCAAGTATGCTAAGGCTTGACTCTTCTGGGATCTCAAATGAATGTGCTAGATATTTGAAGAGGTATCCGTACTCTGCACTTTGGTTGTTGGGAACTCTAGTGATTCCCTACCCTTTGTGACCTCTGGGAATTGTTTAGCTTACTGCTTCCCAGTAGTTGTTCCTTTCCCAGCAACTGCTGTTCTTTGCTTGTCTTTGTAGTTTCACCCTCTGCATGTACAGCACACTCTGTGCAGACTTCTGGAGTTTTTCCGCGGGATAACTCCTTCCTCAACTTAGTGAGACTGAAAGATTCTCTTAGGCTGTGCCCTCCCTGCATTGCAGTCTAGAGATTGCCTTCAGTCAGAAAGCGCAGTTGTTCATAGGGCTCACCTCATTCATATCCATTCTCGCAGGATTCTTAGTGGTGCCTGCAGATTGTTGTTTCATATGTGTTGTCAGCATTTAGTTGTCTATGGTGGGGGAGGGGCAAGTCCTGTAGCTGTTATTTCTTCGTGTGCAGACATCTCTGTTTGTTTCTTTGGGTTTTGTTTTTAACCATATCTGCTGAAACAGTTACATTGAGGTCTTATATGTCCTCTTAAAACATGATATTTGTTGTCTTAGCCTTCAGTAAAAACTTTCATTTTAGTATTCTGTTCATGTTGATGAAAAGTAACTTTTACACAAAGGGGACATTTTCCACCATTGTATGAGGAACAAAGAAGAATGTAGTCATTTATTATATATGTAAACCATTTGTTTGCCTTTTGTTTTAGGCAAGTATGTGGGCTCTTTATGTCTCAGCCTCTTAGTAAAAATGTATCTAGCATGTTAACAGGAAATGATAAACAGAATATTATAACTATTTTGTTTTTTAGTTTTAAGTCTTGTACCTCAGGAGTTAGTAGCTACTCTTACATACGGTAGTCATACAGACATAGATTCAAATTCTGGCTCTGTGCTTTACTAGATATGTAAATGAGACTGTTTGCTTACCCTGAATCTGAGCCTCTGTTTCCTTATCTGTAATGTGGGCATGATAATGCTATATTAAATAGGAATGAGAACTTTTGGTAACAGAGCTGCTGCTGCTATTTTTTTTTTTTTGGTAATAGAGCATCTAATAACAGTGCTTTAAACAAGGTGGAAACTTATTTTCTCTTTCTCTTCATATAAGAAGAACCTGGCAATTCAGGAGTGGTATGACAGCCCCACAGTGTATGTATTGTGGACCTAGATTCCTTCTCTTTCCATTCTACCATTCTTAGCTCAGGAGTTGTATCCTCAAGGTCACCTCATAAGTCAAGGTACCTACTGGAATTCTACCTCTCATGTTCATATCCCAGGCAGCAGAAAGGAGTGGGGGGGGAGGTCAAAGGGGTATATCTTCCTTTAAAGAAATGTTACAAAATACGGTCATTTGATTCAAATCTTACTGGCCATAATTTAGTCATGGGGTCATATCTAGCTTTAAGGGAAGGTAGGGAATATAGTCTTTTAGCAGGATGCTATGAAGAAGGAAGGCAAAGGGGCTGTTAGATTGCCATCCAGGAGCATCTGTCACTATTGTCTTCTCTTGCAATTTCATGGGTTCCCAGTGAGTTGAGAAATTATCCAGGAGTCAGCAGGTGGAGACCCAAATATCACCCTTGTAAAACTGACAAAGCTGATTCTTGAGAAAGGGGCTTACATCTGCAGTTAAGTGTATTTCCTAATATTGAACCCTAGCATTAAACAGACTTGTCCATCCAGTCCATGAAAGTGCTAGGCCAGGTAGAGCCTGTCCCTATTAAATTTGTGACATGAAGGAACAAAGTCAATGTGTGTGTCCTGTCAGCAGCTCTTTCAGCATAAAGGGAGGGTGGGTGAGGACTAGAGAGGCTGGGAGTGTTACTTAGGTCATCAGAAATGGGAAAGTGTTACCCTGTCCCTTCTCCCTTCCTACGATGCTTTATCCTAAGAGTTTAGCATGATGTTTGGCACTGAATAAGCATTCAGTATATGGTGCTTATTATTATAATGATGATTTGAGCAATTTGAGTAGCCACCATGTCTCAGAATCTATGCGTTTAATCTTCCCACATATGTTGCTATTTGACATGTAGCATGGTTTCTATGCAGTATTATTTTTTTTTACTTCACCATGAGATAAAATTGGTAAATAGTTTTAAAAGGCTGTATAGGTACTTTTAGACTAACAGTTTTTAAACTTTTGGTGAGGTCACAGTTTCGTTTGCAAATGTAATGAAATTATGTAGATAGCATAAATTATACATATGCTTTCTGGGAATACATGGATCTTAAGAATTTATGGCAGATAAAATTTAATGAACTACAAATACCTCCATATTACTGTAAACTGGTATCAATGACTGTTGAATACGTACAGTAAATTAACAGGAAGGTGAGAGTGGTTAAGATCATGTGAGGCAGATGGACAGACACATGTTTCAACTCTAACTGTGCCCACCTACTAGTTATTTATTAACCTGGGTGTTACTGTTTTTCTTGTTTTAAATCAGTAAAATGAAGGTGATAATAGCTTCTATATCCAAGGGAGAGGAGTAAATGAAATAATACATATAAAGCCTTACTTCTGGGCCAGAGTATCCACTTGCTCTTTTCTACTGTTGCTGTTGTTTTTATAGTCATTATTGTTGTTACCCTTCTTTGCCTTTCTGACCTCACCTTGATTATCTTGCAGGTTTCAGTGACTAAGTTATCTTGAATTACATAACTCGGAGATAAAATTATTCTGAGCAAACAGCTTGGTCCTTTAGATCTGTTTTTGTTTAAAAAAGAAAAGCAAAAGTCCTCAAGAGTAATCTTCATGATCTTTGATCTCTCCATAATAAGAAAGAACTTTCACAGCCTGCTTCTGGCTCATCAGGGAAACGATCTTTTGTGTGCCCTTCAAAATTTCCCCTTCTTCCCTTGCTTCCTCTCATGTCTCCTTCCTGGCCCACCAGAAGGAGAAAGATGTCAGTTTGATACTTCTGGCCTCTTCTGAAAACCTGGTAATGGCATTTATCCTGTCAGCAGTTCCTGGGTATTTAGTGTTTTACATCTTGATCTGTCTTTATTATTTGAGGAAAAGTCCTTAACTTTCCCCATTCCTTTCTGATGAATAGCTTGGGCTATAGAAGTTTGGTCCCCTCACTAAGAGCTATAGATCCCCTGCTGTTTTTATAGGTTGACTTTTGACACAGGCTACTTCTGTTCAAGGAGCTCATTGTTATTAAGTTAGTGCCAGTTTATATCAGAACTTAACTTTTAAAGCACATTTAAATAGACTTCTTAATGGTTTTTTTTGGTTGATGTTTAAAATTGTCTAGTGGTTTTTTTTTTTTTCCAAATGACCCAAATAGCACATGCTCAATGTAAAAAAATATTCAGAAAATATATAAATCATGAAGAAGAAAGCTCTCCCATAGTTCTCCATAGACTCCACCAAACTAGTCACTTCTACTTTTTTTTATATGATTCTATCTCTATCTATATGTATGTATATAGATATATATATAATATATATACCTATACATACATATAGTTTTATATGCCTTTAAAGTTTTTTTTCTTTTCCCCCAAATGAGATTCTTCTATATATAGTTTTGTATTCTGCTTTTTTCCCTAACTTATGTATGTGTGTGATTGTTTTAAATAGTTGTATAGGATTTCATAGAATAGATATAATTTACTTAGCTAATTCCCTATTGAGATGGATATTTAGGTTGTTTATGATTTTTTAGTGATTTAACCCAGGATGGTAAACATTTTTCTGCATCCTTTTTTGAGTAGTTGTGTTTTGTTTTTTTTTTTTAGTGCATTCTTAGAAGTTTAATTCATGTGTCAAAGGCTTTGTACCTACTAACTGGTTATGAAAGTAACTTTTTCTAATCAAATTTGGGTATTATCAATCATTTTAATATTTTTCAGTGTGATAACAAAACTAACGTCTGAGTGTTTTAATTTCTATTTCTTTGATTATTAGAGATTAAACATATTTTTGTGGTTTTTGGCCACTTGCATTTTTTCTGAGATTAATTTTGTGTTATGTAGTCTTGCTAATCTTCCTAAGATATGTATATTTTAAAAACGGCAGAATTTTATTTCTTGTTTTAAGAGATTATATTTTAAAATTATAGTATTATATATGCTACAAATATATATTATAAAATTATATTACAAATGATTTTGTTTTTGCTGGACTTAATTTCTTACTTAGCTAGTTATTTTCAAGTATTGACATAGGAAATTAAGTAATTAGTAAAGAAAACCAAGCTTGTTAGAATAATTTATTTACCTAAAATACAAATGAATTTGACTGAAATTCTTAATGCTTATTTGCACTTTAAGGTACCTATTTTGGTTTAACTTTTTAATTTGCTCACATCTGGTTCTTGACCATGTTCTAGATAAGAGATGCCTGTATAAATGTGTATCTGTATTTTTACTTGTTCATTTTCATCATTGTTAAAATGAAAGGAATTGGAGATTGTTGATTGAAGTACTCATTTTAGCAAACTATGATCAGAAGATGCTTGGATATGATTCTTCCACATGATAAAGAGCATGTTTTTATTTTATTGCTTTTAGAAGAAAAACAACAGTGAAGACATTATGTATTTATGCAGACTACAAATCTGATGAAAGCTATACTCCAAGCAAGATTTCAGTCAGAGTAGGAAATAATTTTCACAATCTTCAAGAAATTCGGGTATGTCTTTCACATTTTAAAAAATATGTTATCTTGTTACTCTTGCTCTTTAGAAAATAGTGACATTTGACACTGGATTAGACAGATTAAAATGTTAATACATAAAAGGAAAATTATTAATATTTAAGAAAACACTTTTAATTTTTTATCTTTAAAAAATTTTTTGAATTCCAATTGTCATCTTAGTTTTTTTCCAGTGTTTTATTATGGAAATTTTCAGACATACAGAAAAGCTGAATTGTATAGTGAGCCCCAGTATACTCACCTCCTAGATTCTATAGTTATTAATGTTTTGCTATATTTGATTTATTATCTGTCCATCAATTCATCTAATTTTTATACTCATTTCAAAATAACTTGCAGATATTTGTACCTACCACCCCAAATACTTCAGCATAACATATGATAACTGGAGTTATGAATATTTGCTTCAGGTTTATTTTTTAAGGTACAACTTATATGCAGTTTCCACAAATCTTAAATATATTAATTTGTGAATTTTCACAAATGCAAACATATGTGTAACCCCGACTCCTATTAACATATAGAACATTTTCATTACCCCGTAAAATTCCCTTATATCCCTTCCCAATCAATCTCCATGTCTATCCTACTCTCAGAGGTAAGTGTTGTTCTAATTTTGTTTGCTTATTCATTCATCCATGTATTCATTCATTCATTCATTCATTCTGTAGATCAGTTTTGCCTGTTCTAGCATGTCATATAAAGGAATCACAGATGGTGTAATTTGGTAAGGCTTCTTTCATTCAGTCTAATTTTTTGACAATCCATTCCTGTTGTTGCATGTAGCAGTACTTCATTTTTTTCTATTCCTGAGTTATACTCCATTGTTTGAATATACCCCAATTTATTTATCTGCTGTATAACTTTTTGAAGCTATTAGGATAATGCTTTTGTGACCTGAATGTTATTAGTCCCCAAATATTTACATTTCAGAGATACTTTCAATGAGTTTGAACTTTGTACTTGTAAAGTTCTGGCCCTTCACATTTTTTCTTGTCAGAAAGTCATTGAGCTCAAATAATCATTAAAATCTTTTCAATTAGGTGATTCTGAGAGATCTGAGAAGCACCTGTGATTTTTGAAAGACTTCCAGCCAATTTGTGGCCTAGACTCTTATTTGACTTAGTGTTTATAAGACCCTGTCTCTACATTTATATTTCTTCCCTGAGTTAGTAATAAAATACTTAATAAGAATCACATATACTTTCATTATTTACTCATTAAATGCAGTGTTACTTCCTTGTGAAATTTGTTTATGTGTTGGCAAATAAGAATAAGTAAGGACATTGTCACCCACAGGTGTTTTGTTTTTTTGTTTTGCTTTTTCATCCTTTGAGGTAAGTTTGCAACTTTTTTGAGATGACCACCTGGTCTTATTCTAGTTATCTTCCTTTAATTTTAAGGGATGATCCTATACATTTTCTTGACTACTAATTTGTCTTTGAAAAATCATCCTAAGATATTCTTCTTTTAGTTTAAAAATATTTATTTTGTGTGGCCATACTGGTTAATATGTACTTTCCATGCTTGAATAAATTCATAAATAGATTAGTTCTTCATTTTCTTTGTAAGTTTCTTCATTTAACCCAGTGCTTTTTTCATTCAGAATATTTTAGATTCTTTTTATTATCATAATTGCATTGAGCCTTTTGCTAGCTCTTTTAGTCATATGATACATTTAATCAGTGTTTAGTGCTTTAAGGACTTGAGATAATCTTATACTTTGTTAAACATTTTGTATTTATCACACGATTGGGTTACTCATAGTGAGCAGCCTTTTGGGAGCAGAGCTGGCTTGTTTGGTTTAAAATTAAAGGTTTATCATATAATCCCTCAAGCAGGTTGAATTATGTGACACTGAAAATAAAGTTTTGATCCAGGATGTGTGTGGCATATATTTGAAATGTGCACTAGATGTCACTGTTGTCCTTTAATTGCTAGTCTCATAATCTAATTGTTAATAAGACCTTAAGTAGTTAGTCTTCGTTGTAACTCGTTTTTCTCAGAGTATATATATTCAAATATTCTTTGATGCATTTTGGGAAATGTACATATTCATATGTGATTTCTAGGTTTATGTACTAAATATATATTTTGTATTCTTTTGTAAATGGGACAAACTTGGAATGATATTTGGACCATTTCAGAATACTTTTAATCTAGTTTTTGCTTCTATTATATCATTTAAGTACTGAAACATTAGCCACATAGAATAAGGGCTCTTTTAGGTAGTCTCTTAATTTTATTCCAAGTATGTTTATATTTCTGTGTAGTGACCACATAGCCTCACGAGACCAGTAATACTAAATATTACCAGGTGATAATGTAAGTTGTTTTCCTGAAAAACTTAATGAACATACTGCTTTTCTGCCACAGTTCTCACTAAGGAACCATAATTTTTGGATTTTGCTTTAAAATATTAGTGCCGCCTTTGCAGCTCATGATATAAAGTATACTTTATCTTCTAATTATACATCTTTTTACGTGATTTATTCTGTTTACCTTTTTTCCATTAAAGAAATAATCTGATATCATTTTGTTTTTTAAGGGAAGATAAGCAGATCATGCTTTTATTTTCTTACATTACTACTGTATAGGATATAAATTATTTTTTAAAAAATCTTCTAACTCAGATACTAAGACAAATGATTAAAATAGTGTTAACTTTTATGAGGTTTTTAGAGCCATCATTTCATTAGTTATAGGACTGATTTAACTGAGTGGAAAATCCAACTAAATCTTTTTATATTTTTCCATGGAGGGTTGCCCACAGGAGGGTGTAGTGTGTATTGGAGTGTTTAATGGGTTTTCCTTTTTTACTAGAAATTATGGATTTGTTTACTTGAAACATCTAAAAACCTATTTTCTGTCATTTTATTATTGATTTGAGTTGATAACCTTACAAAAATTTAGTTCAGGACAAGAAAAGCTAATGGCTACCCCCTGTCTATCAAAAAATTCTTCTTTTTTTTTTTTTTTTAAAGATTTTATTTGTTTATTTGACAGAGAGAGACACAGTGAGAGCAGGAACACAAGCAGGGGGAGTGGGAGAGGGAGAAGCAGGCTTCCCGCTGAGCAGGGAGCCTGATGCGGGGCTCGATCCCAATCATGACCCGAGCTGAAGGCAGACGCTTAACGACTGAGCCACCCAGGCGCCCCAAAAAATTATTCTTTTTCTATCATCTGTTTTCCTTCATTTCAGTTATAAAACACACTATTCTATCTTGATCTTTGTAACCTCTGTTGAAAAATCTCTAAGAAGAGACCAGGCCTTCCTTTTACTCTTCTAGAATGCATATTTCAACCTCTATACCTGAGGAGGGACTTACAATGGAAATAAAGTTTAGACTTTCTGCTTATATTATACTTACAAGATACTCAAACTAGGTTTGGTTGAATAGAATGCTTTTGATGCCAGAACTTCTCTTGAATAACTTCCTTGATAACATGATGAATTCATTTATGCCACTTATTCTACTTTTTTGTTTTTAAAATTGTCCACCCTACAGATACTGGGAACCAACAACCTAAGAACATTTCATGAGATGCTTGTGATTTATTGCTTCTACACAAACTACTTTTTCTTTTTAATTTTTTTATTTTTTACACAAACTACTTCTGTGTAGAAGTGAGGACTTAGCATTTCAGAGTCTTTATGGCTTTATCTACTCAAAACACCTCATCTTGGGCACCTGGGTGGCTCAGT